CACATCACACTCAGCTCAGCCCATGCCTTTCTTTCAAACTACCCAAATAATGATGACAATCATAAGAATACTAATATTTTCACGTATCTGAAGTAAGCAATTTGACCTTATTTCATCCCTTATAATTGGTCTTTAACGTTTACCTTATATTTCTCCTGAATGTTACATGTCACCAAGGAAAAATGTCTACAAATGCACAGTCAGATGTCACGCTGATTGGGAGCCATAGAACTGGCAAGAATGAAGTATGTGTCGTATAATTAATATCACATTGCTTGCCTTCTCAGTGGGTGGAGGAGGGACTGGAGGGAGGGAAAAAATTCAAAACTCAAATTTAAAGAAAATGTTAAATAAATTTAAAAAAGAATGAAGTATATGTGTAGGAGAGTAATATGAGATAAATCTGCTGTTTCACTTTGTTGTTCTTTCCACGTACACAGTGGTCTTCGTGTATATTGTTTTCCTCAGTTCTGTTTATTTCACTTTTCATCACTGCATAGAAATCTTCCCAGGCTTTCCTCCCCATAGGTGTTATTTCGTGTGGGGCAGTAATATTTCATTACAGTCGTGTACCATGGTTTGTTTATCAATTTCCCAGTCAATGGGCACCTACTTTGTTACTAGTTTTTGATTACCACACACACACACACACATACAAACTTCTCTGAATATTTTGGGATGTGAGATCTTCCTTTTTTAACCATTAATTTCTTTAGCAGTTGTAAGTACGGTGGATTTTGTTATTCTTTTTTAGATACTAGTTCCCAGGATTATGGCCATAACAATCTCTCGTTCCCAGGATTTCAGATAAACAGTTTCTACTGCATCTTCACAATGCTAAGTCAGCATAATATTGCTAGAGTTAAAGTAAACGTGAAGCTATTGCTGGCAAATTGATGTCTCTTACCCTATAAATCAAGTGGACACTGATCAGTAAGTGGGAAATAGGAATGCACAAGGGGAATGTGCATGTGTCTGCCTCACCTGGTCCCATTGAGGCTTAGGGGAGGATTGAACAAGCTGGAATGTTGTACATGCCTTGATCAGCCCCCATCTAGCCTTGAGGGGTTTTGTGAAGGTGTGTGCCTATCTCAACTGGCCCCCATTAAGATTTAGGGAATCCTGTAGGAGATGTGCTTGAACTCTTATTCTCACCCACCCCTGCAAGAAGTGTGATTAGGGAATGCTGTAGGAGATGGTACTCCCATTATCAACAACTCTCTTGAGAAGACTAGACTAGAATAAAGTAATTATTTAACATCTCATCATGTCTCCCTTCCTGTCTTCTTGTCTGCTCAGATTAAGAGTGAACCTGCTAGTGCTAGGAAAGCTCCTGCCCCCCCTCCAGTGCCTCCTGCCTAAGAGCAGTGGGGAAAAAAAACAAAACAAAACAAAAAAACTGAGGCAAGTATTTGCTTTTCTCAGCTATGCTTGTGCATAGACAAGAGAATGTTTGTCTGAGCATGGACAGTGCATATTTCAGCCACTAAAACTGCTAAATACATTCATCTACAAAATAGCAACAAATATTTCTCCAGAGGGCAAATCAAAACAAACCTGAGGTTTTACCTCACACTCAGCAAACTGGCAAAGGGGACAAAATATGGGTGTAGTTGGAAGGGTTATGAAAAGACAAGCACACAAATGTATTGTTAGTGAAGCTATGGATTAGTGTATCCATTCTGGGGAGCAATTTTGAATTTTGCAAATAAGCTAGATAAATTGTCCATAACTCTTGATCTAGAGATTCCCCAGAGAAGCATGAAAGATCTACTGATACAAAATGAAGTAAGCAGAGCCAGGAAAATCATATAGACAAAGACTGCAACAATGTGCACGGAAAGAACAATATTGATCAGGTTTTTTCAATGTATTTATTGGTTTTGCTGAATTTTTTATTTCTCTTTTTTAAAAAAAATTCTTTGTTATAAGGGACAGCTCTTGGGGAGGGGAAAGGATACAGAGGAAATCACAAGATATAAATAAAATTTTATGGAAAAAAAACTAAATGCTTTCATGTCTAAATAAAAAAAAATTAAAATTGTCTTGAGACACAAATATTCTTTTATTTTGATTTAGTCCCAGTAAGAGGATAGAACCTTTGAGACATCTCATCACAGCTTGGATATTTTCAGCTGCTGTATTATGGGTTGTTTTTAATAACAAGCATAATTTCCACTGAACTTTAAGATTCACAAAATTTACAAAATGCTCACAACTCTGAAGTAGGTAGCATAATGACTATCCCCACTTTACACTATTTCCTCAAAATAGAGGATGAAATGAGTTGCCCAGGGTCACATGCTAGTGCTGGTCTGGTCCTCTTCATTACACTACATTGCCCTCTTAAACTATTCTAACTTCTTTGACCGTACTTGACACCAGTGATACCTGAGAATTTATATTTGTGTCAGAAATACTGGTAACTTTGGGATTATGAAGGAATTTTATGATAACATGGTTTGATAGGTGTAAACATGTGGCCAGGCAACCTTCACTTGCAAATTTTATAAATTATAAAATTAAGTACTAGGAAGATTTTTAAACAACAATGCCAGCTTCAGTATGTATAGCTTGGAAGATTAACTGAGTACTTTCCCTTCTGTGATCTCATTTGATTGTTACAACAGTCCTGTGAAACAGGCAGGACAGGTAGTCCCATTTTACAGACGAGAAGACAGGGTCAAAGAGGGTGAGTTGATGGTTGGAAGAGCCAGGATTAGAAGGGAGAGGACGTAGGTCATAGAAATTTCAGCGCTGAAAGGAACCTTACAAATCAGAGCAGACACTCATGAACAATGGAATGACCGAGGCCAGAGAGGCAAAGCAGCCAAGTTTCCTTGAGGGCAAAGAGGGTTTCTTCATCGTTCTACTCCCAGAGCCCCAAACGGGTATTTGCATAATATATACTTTTTAAAATCTCTGTTAGATTTACTGCAGTTTAATTAAGTGCATCATCATCTTCAAATGAGAGGCGCTTTTGTGGCCTAGTTCTTTGTTTCCTGAGCACCTGCAAAGTGTAGGGCACTGCAGGCGGTAAGGAGCCATGTGGAAGGTGGCCGGGTGGTCACAGGAAGGGCACTGGCTTACAAGTCACAATCCTCCTGGCCTCAGTTTCCTCACTTGTAAAATAAGAGATTCAGACCTCTGAGGTCCCTTCTGGCTTTCACATTCTGTGATGCTTTCTTCATAGAGTGAACGCTGGATTTGGAGTCGCAGAACTTGGGTTTGAATCTCTAGGACCAAGATCAGAGCAGAATCGGAAGGGACCTCAGAGACAAGTCTAGCAGCCCTATTTTACGGGGGGGGGGGGGGGGGGATAAATAAACAGGCCCAGGGTTAGTCCACCCCACCGGGATCTTCGGTCGGAATCCAGGTCCCCGGACTCCCCTTCCAGGGCTTTTGTTACGCCTTGTTCGGTCGTATCCGACTCTTTCGGGTTTCCTTCGCAAAGATACCGGAGCGGTTTGCCATTTTCTTCTCTAGGTCATTTTACAGGTGAGGAAACTGAGGCCAACTGGGTTAAATGACTTGCCCAGGGTCCCACAGCTTGTACATGTATGGGGCTGGATTTGAACTCAGAAAGCAGTCTTCTTGACTTCAGGCCTAGGGCTCTATCCACTGAGCCATCTAGCTGTCTTTTCGTTATACGAGGAAGCCATAATAACGAAACCAAGCGCTCGTCCATTGGACCTACTAGGAGTCCGTCGGGCTCAGCTTCCTACGTCACCCCCTGCCCTCCCCGGCGACGGCCCGAGGCTAGGGTGAGGACGGGCAGACCACCGAGACGCGGAGGCCTCCGGGCTGCCTAGAGAGGAAGAGGAAGTGCCAGTCCGGGCCGGTTCGGGAGAGGCCATTGTCCTCTCCGGCGGCGGCGAGCACGGGTCGGTGGCTCGGCTCTCCGCGCTGCGGCCGCCGTCCCCGCGCTGGGCGGATCGGCTGGAGGCCGGCTTGCGCTCCTCTTCCTCGGTGAGGCGGGCTGGGGGAGCGGGGAGGGCTGTCCCAGCGCGGGCTCCGGGCGACCCTGCCCGCCGGGCTGGAGCCCCACCTGCGGGGGAGGCCACCTGTCCCCTCGCCCCCTTCCTTGCCCTCCGCCCTTCTGCTCTCGCTCCTTTTCCCCGTGCTCCTTCCTGTCCTGTGCGCCTTCCCCTCCCCCCGTTGTGAGGGTGCAGTCATCGCGGATGACCTCCTAGGATGGTGGAGGACCCAAGGAGATGAGGGCTGGAAGCACAGCTACTGCTTGCAGAGCAGAGAGATGGGCTGCAGATTACTGCGTAATACTGCCCTATTACTGTGTTGAGATCATTTTTTTCCTGTAAAGGGAAATCTAGTGCAGAATACGTTTATTATCCTTTAAATTTTCATGCAGGGACTCTCGGTGATGCCGCGCTTCCCTCTGACCGAATGAAGCCAGACTCACCCCCTCGCGTGTGTCGGGAGCTGCTGAGAGGCACCGGGGGTCGTTTGCCAGCCCCGTCCTGCCGCGGCCCCTTTTGTGCTGGGAATGGACGCTGCTCCCTCAGCCCGAACACGCGCTAGCTGGCTTCAGCCGGACGGCTCTTGGCAAAGCCTTGGGTTTACCGAAAACCTCCTTGTTAGGAATCCGGTTTTATGTAATTTTTTTTTTTTTGGTCAGGACCCATGGTTTTATTGGTGTAGGATCTCCCTCTACCTATGCAGATTTGTAACTCTTATACGTTTTTTGACTGTTGCCTAGGGAGAACTGAGTAGCGACTGGCCATACATCACACAACCAGAGAACACTTTTGTCACAACGATGTGAGATAGGCAGTGAAAGTATTGTTCTGATTTTACAGAGGCAACTGGATGGCTCAGTGGTTAGACCAGACCGCTGGGCCTGAAGTCAGGATGACCAGAGTTCAAATCGGCCTTGGATACTTAGTAGCTGGGTGATTTAACCTGTTTGCCTTAGTCCCCCAGGAGAAGGAAATGGCAAACCACTCCAGTATCTTTGCCAAGAAAATCCCATGGACAGTATGATCCACTGGGTCACAAAGAGTCAAAACAACAGCGACAGTTTTACAGATGATAAAATTTGAGATCCAGTCCCATCACATTTGTAGTTATCAAGGGCTAAGTCTTTCTCGCTTCATTCATAAAGAGTTCAGCACCTGCAAGCCTCAGTCTTCCTTTGTGCATCAGCCCCAGCCCTCAAACCTAGGGACTGAAGATACACTCCCATCTACTGGCTACTTTCTCCTCTCTGGGTTTGTGTGACACTGCTCTCTCCTGGTTTTCCTCCTCCCTCTCTAATCATTCCTTCTCAGTCTCCTTCACTGAATCATTGTCTTGTCTACTACCTGCTATGTGTAAGTATCTCCCAAGGCTCTGTCCTGGACCACCTTCTCTCTATATATGCCTTCTTTCTTTGGGATTGCCTTAGCTCCCATGGATTTAATTATTGTCTCTATAAAGAGGACATTCAGATCTATGAGGCAGCTAGGAGGTGTAGTGGATAGAACACTGAACTTAAAGTCAGGAAGACTTGAGTTCAAGTCAAACCCTGGGCAAGTCACTTAACCTCTGTCTGCCCCAATTTCCTCATCTGTAAAAAGTGGACAATGATAGCACCTTTGTCCCAGGGTCGTTGAGGATAAAATGTAATATTTCTAAAGTGCTTTGCAAATCTTTAAGTGTTATATAAATGTTATTATTATTATTATTTTTTTATTGTCTACATATCCAGCCCTAGCAGCATTGACTACCTGTTGGACACCTGCATCTGGATTTCCTGCACCCTTCTCAAACTCAGTATGTCTAAAACAGAACTCAGTGTCTTCCCTTCTAAACCCAGTCTTCCTCCAGACTTCCTTATTCCTATTAAGGGCACCATCAGTTTCACAACATTGGAGTCATTCTTTACTCCTGCACTTCCTCTCTGCCCCTCCCCACCTGCACCCCATATCCATTAGTTTCCAAGTCTTGTCAGTGCTATCTTTCACATCTTTCCCTCAAAGGCCAACGACTAGTTCAGGCTCTTATCCTCACTCATCAGAACTTCTGCAACAACTTCCTAATTGGACTCTCAGCTTATAGTCTCTCCCACATCCAGTCTGTCCTCCACACAGTTACCAGAATCTTCTTAAAAAACATATTAGACCATGTTATTCTGCCACTCAAGTTTCAGTGCCTCCCTGTTGTCTATAAGATAAGGCACACACTCCTCAGCTTGCCTTTTACATCTGACTCTAGCCTACGGCTCACCTTCCTCATCCTCCTACTTGCCTAGAGTGGAAAGCCTTCCTTGTGATCCTAGATTTAGGAGTGTGCTTTTCCCCATCTTCTTCAACTCCTCCAACCTAGGAACTTGAAAGTGATGACTCCCCCGAGGAACTTTTCCACACTCTTTTGAACATCATTCCCTTTTGCTGAGGCATGTCCCAGCCACACTGGCCTATTTGCTCTTCCCCCACTTGACACTCCATCCCTCTCCTCTTAGCTTTTTTTTTCTCTTTGTATGTTATACAGTCACTGCCTAACCTAGTGCCTGGCATGCACATAGTAAGCACTTAAATGCTGACAAGGTTGGATTGGATATGTATGCATTTGTGTGGAAAGGCATCTCTTCACAAGTGAGCATTGTGGGGAGTGTTCTCTTCTTTCTCTTCTTTCCTGGAATTTTGCCAGGCCCTGGTGAGTGGTCTTTATTGTCTTAGAACTCCGTTCTTTGGAGGGGCAGCTAGGTGGCGCAGTGGATAGAGCATTGGCCCTGAAGTCAGGAGGACCTGAGTTCAAATGTGGCCTCAGACCAAACACTTGACAGGTACTAGCTGTGTGACCTTGGGCAAGTCACTTAACCCCAACTGCCTCACTAAAAAAAAAAAAAACTCAGCTCTTTGGGATTAGTTTGTTTCTCTTATGTTAACAATGCCTTTTTATGTCTCAGTAGATGATACTCATTCCAACTCTAAGAAGTTTCAGGGAAGAAGAAGTCAGACAAGAGTTGACCAGCCAGAGGAGTGAGTGGGAGGAAGAGTACAGAGGCTGAGGAGGATGACCACAAAAGAGAAAAAAGGAACAGGCCTGGATCCTTTGGGCCCTATGTCAGTAAAGGAGGAGGAAGAGGATGAAGACGCTTGGGGTCAGGTAGCAAACCTGTACGAATCCACTGAGGCTGCAGTTATAGGGGAAGATTTTTAGGCTGATCTTGGTGGATCAGGACAGAAAATAAGAAATGGGATTTATGATCTGGCTCAGGGGTGGGGAACCTTCGGCCTTAAGGCCACATGTGGCCTTCTGAATCCTTAAGTGTGGCCTTTTGACTGAATCCACATCCTTTGATTTGTTCTGTAAGATTTGGATTCAGTCAAAAGGCTGCACTTAAGGATTTAGGACATATGTGGCCTTAAGGCCGAAAGTCCCCACCCCTGGTCTGGCCCATGGGAGAAAGGAGAGAGGTATGGTTAAAAACAGGAATCTCAAGTTATCCTCTGTTCTCCTGTCAGTGTCTGAGCCCTTCACTATCAAGAATGTAATGGAAATGCTTCCTTATTGAAATAGCATCCAGGCTGTCACGATGTAGTTTACAGGATTTAGATCTGTGGGGACAAGCTGTATGTAGTTCATGGGGTTTTCACACAACCTTTACCCCTTCTGCTGAATTTAAGACAAAGTGTCCTATAACCTGTAATAATAGTAACAATTTACAATTATATAGTGCTTAAGGTTTCCAAAGTTTTTTTCTCACAAACCCTGTAAGGTAGAGAGTTCAGATATTAATAAGGTCACGGTCTCTGTACTTATTCCCCTATCACTGTGAGCTCTATCTGACTTCAGATCTCAGGAAGGACTATTCTAGAAATTGATCTATAGGCTGTCAGGCCTCCCCCATTTTATCCAGATTGATTATCACATATGCTCACTATTCAGATATTCGGAAAGTGAATTCTTAGGGGAGAGCACCTCAGAGCCACAGTAAGATGTGCCAGGGGAGTGAGCTAGGAGGAAGAGTACAGACTTGTGATCTCTCTCATGTCTTTCTGTCACGAGTCTAACTATAAATACGTGCCTCCAGGTCTCAACCCCTATCCAGAGACTGGAAGTACCCTGGAGAAAAAAAGCAACACTGGGAAAAGCCCAGGTGTCAAGTCTGATGTCCTCCAACAACTATTCATCAACTGGAACCTCTTTGCTACCTGTGATGACCAAATCCAAGGACAGAAATCATGGGAGTGTGGCCTCCCTGGGTAAGATCTTTCCCTTGATTTAGAGTTTTCTCTTTTTTTGGCTTCTTTTCATCTTTGTTAGTGTCTGTGGGGTCTCTGAAAATTTTTTCTTATATGAGGCTTTCTCTGATTCTCACCCTGTTCTGCCTAGCTAGTTTCTCCTGGAAATTACTTTGGTTATAGGTTATCTTTAATTACACATACAGATTTTATTTCCCCCAATAGGATGTAAGCTCCTTGAAGGCAAGGACTTCCTTTTTGCTTTTGTATTCCTAGTGCCTAGCATATGGTAGGCCACTGATAAACAGTTGTTGATTGATTGGACAGAATTTTCATTTACCAGCTTCAGAATCAGTCTTGAGGTCACTTTGGCTACAAAGAAGGACAATATGTTATCCAGTCAACCAATTGTTATTTATTTGTTCAGCTGAATTATGGTACCATGTACAAGGTATTGTACTAGATACTGACGTGGTTACACAGCCGTGTAAGACATAGTTCCTTCACTCAAGGAATTGATACCTTGGACTTCTGACCAAGCCCCCAAATCTCCACATGTCTCTGGTGAGAGTCTTAGAGTCACCCTAGAGTTCAGAGGGACATTAGAACATAGAATGGTAAGAGCTAAAAGAGACCTTAGAATGTGGAAGGCAATATATGATGTGTGAAGTGATACAGTTAGTGCTTTGGAAGTTCAGAGATGGGGAGAGGTTGCTGTGCGCAAGGGTCAGGAAAGGCCAGGTAAAGAAGGTAAGATTTGAGTTCTAGGCTGTGAAAGAGAAAAGGAGAAGGGAGGAATAGAGCATTTTAGATACATGGAACCAGGGATGTGCTAGGTATGTTCAGGTAGCCATTAGGTAGGTGAGTCCTGTGAGTAGAACCAAAGAAGTAGATTTAGGCCAGATTAAGGACCACTTGGAATGTCTGGTTTCCCTGAGAGTTCCTGCTCCTTCTGAAATTTTGCTGTATCTCCATGCTAGGCCTAAGGGTTCACCTTTCCTATCCTTCCAGTTATCTAGAATGGAGAACTTTCTTTGTTGTTCTAGGTTTAGGAGGGGGTGGTCTCCCCTTCCTTTTCTCCTCCTCCTCCCTCAATCCAAGGACTCCCAAAGAAACATCTCTTCTGACGGAATTTTCTATACTCCTGAACCAGATTTCTTTTCCAGTACAAATCACTTCCTCCCAGGTCCCAACATCAGTATTAAGCAATACCCACACTCCCATCTTTCGAGATACGATAGCCATTCATCTTTGCGTTAGACTTGATTGGGGGGTGGGTAGGAGGGGAAGAGTGTCAGGGTTGCAGAATTTTAGAAGAGAAGAAATCCTGCCTGCCTTGTGGCCGCTGTTCCTCTACAGCCACATCATTTCAACCATCCATGGACAGTTGGAGGGATGTGCATTTGACTTAGGCAGCTGAAGATGAAGCAAAATGGTAAAAGGGAAAGAATGCCAGATTTGGAGTCAGAGGCACTGGCTTCAAATGTTGACTTTGCTATTTGTTCCCTGTGTGCCCTTGGGCAGGTCACTCCTGTTTTCTCATATGTAAAATGAAGGGCTTGGAGGAGCTGGCCCTTAAGCCCTTTCCCAGGTCTAAATCCATGATTACCCTCTTCTCTAGGAGGCCTTCCACTCAAAAGTATTTTCTCTACCTTTCAGTCTAGGGATGGCACATTGCTACCAGAGGGCCAAATCCTGCCAGTCATTTTACATTTTTAAATAAAACAATAAATCTTTATTTTAAAATGTAAAAACCATTCTTAACTTGGGGCGGGCCAGGTTTGGTTGTCTGCTATTCTTTACTCATCTCTGTTCTAAACTCTGTCTTTTATTGTTTATACCATTCTTGGTACCTTGACACTACACTTAATTGTATTATCTCTACATGTCTATATATCAAGACTTGACAGATTGTAGGCTTCAGGTCACCCACCATGCAGTCATGGTGTCTGGTATTTTTGATGATAACCATGTGATGATGAAATGTGAATTCACAGGTTTGAGCTTTTATATTAAATTGTATCTTTTTAGCAGATTCTTTTGGAAGAGATGTAAGGAAGTGTCAGGCAACACTCCTTGGCTGTCTGCCTCCTCCAGCTTAGCAATCCTTAAAATGTAGCTCTGTCCTACTCCATCTTCTTATTCCTTCCCACCCCCAAGCCCCCCCCCCAAAAAAAATCAGTGCTTGCTCAGGTTCCCAGAAAAGGGGGTTGACAGACCCCTTAAAGATCCCTGCCCTTACCTGAGAACCCTCCTCATCCTTGATGGGACACTAAAGCCTCGGTTCAAAACATGTTTGAATGTTTAAAAAATTGTCTTCTGAATTTAGAAACTGATCCCAAAGCAAATTAGTTCCTGAGGGCAGGGACTATATCTTGAGCATTTTTCTGTTCTTTTCAGTGCATTGCACATAATAGGTTCTTAGTAAATATTTGTTCATTAATTTGACCTTCAGTTGATTTCTTTCATTCACTGTACTTAGCCTTCACCTAATGTGTGTGTCTCTTCCTCCTCATTCCTTGAATGTCATTGTTTTTGGCTTGTCTCTAAGATTTAATTGGAGGTTTTGTCATTTGTCTATGCCATCTCCCCTCCCCCGCTATTGATTTCCCTCTTCCCCACCATACCTCTATGGTCATCAGCCATGACTTAGGCTTTCCTAAACTACTTTTGGTAGTCTTAAGTTTGAAATTAGAACAAAATGACACTTGCAGGACATTTAGCAGTTAATAAGAGATTTACTTAACCCATAGCAGAAGAATATTCAACAAGGAAATTCAGCAGGGACAATGATTCAGCTGAGCAGTATTCCCTAGTTTTCTGTGGATAAGCCCATGGTAGTCCACCAGTCAAACTTTACAGCCCAGTCAGAGTTCCTGGGGCCATTTTTGCCTAGATGACCAGGAAGTAACTTCAGCAGCTTAAGCCTCAAGCAGCTTAACCCTGAGGCAACTAAATTTGAGGATGGTTTTAGTAACTTCTAAGGAAACACTAGGCTAACCCACATGGGGCAAGGCCTTAGGATATTGCTCCTACAACAATTCCAATATTCAAATCTCTTCCACTCAAACCATATACTAGTTGTGTGACCATGGACAGCTCAATTCTAGGAGCTTCAGTTTCCTCACCTATAAATCTACAGAAATGAAAATAATTGTACTGCCAGCTTTATATTGTTGTGTGGGAAGTGATGTGTCAATCTGAAATACTTCACAGCTTCACTTACCGTTGCTTTTGTCGACATGTATACTTCACTAATACATATCAAAACCCTTCAGCAGTTTCATTGATAATCATTGGGAATTTCTATAGCCATAAAAATTAATCACCCTGTGGCCACCCTGATAATATCAGTTACTCCAAATTAGAGACCAGGTCATAGAAATCCAGCAGCCCATAGCTGAAGCCGTCATAGCTTGGCAGGACCCACCAGAGCTGGGGCTCCATTGCTATGGCCTTTGGGAACCAGGATCACCCTTCAGGCTATGATGAAGTATCAGATTAGGGCTGTAATTGAGGTAAACCTTTAAGTGCCATTATCAATATAAGTTGTTTCTATTATTGCTATTTTGTCTCATCTGAATTCAGCCCCTGACTATACTATGAAACAATGGTGCAGGTATCTAAAGAGTTTATCACCTTAAGAGTCACTTATTACCCAGTTCCCTCTTTGCATTGCAAAACAGGTGATAATTTAATTTTTTGGTAATTTCTTTTGTGTCAGGTGGTAAAGCCATACCTGGAAGTGATGAACTCTCTGAAGAAAAAGGATTGCACACAGTGGCGTCAGGAAGACTCCAGCCAGATATTCCCCTGGGATCTGAGTTTGTAGAAGCTTGTGAAGGGGAACATGGGGGAGTCATGAGAAAGCTGATAATCCCTATAAGAAAGATAGCAAAGGAAGAGAACCAAGATTTCCAAAGAATTATGGACAAAGATAAAACAAGCTCCTCAGGAGAGAAAAGCCAGAACTGTGAAAAACTGGGGGGAAGTCTCAATCTTGGCTCAAAACTTTCTATACACAAGAGAATCCAGAATGCTTATGCCTGTGATGAATGTGGGAAAGCCTTCAGTCAGAGCTCTACCCTTATTGTTCATCAAAGGGTCCACACTGGGGAGAAACCTTATGAATGTCAGGAGTGTGGGAGAGCCTTCACGAGGAGCTCACACCTTATTCGACATCATAGAATCCATACTGGAGAAAAACCCTATAAATGTAATGTGTGTGGGAAAATGTTCAGTCAGGGCTCAAGCCTTATTGTCCATCAAGGAGTCCACACTGGGGAGAAACCCTATGAATGTCAGGAATGTGGGAAAACCTTCAGTCGAAGTTCACGCCTCATTGTCCATCAGAGAATCCACACTGGGGAGAAGCCCTATGAATGTAATGAATGTGGGAAAGCCTTCAGTTGTAGTTCCTATCTTATTGTCCATCAGAGAATCCACACTGGGGAGAAGCCCTATCGATGTAATGAATGCGGGAAAGCCTTTGGTCAGAGCTCACATCTTATTTTCCATCAAACAACTCATACTCGAAAGAAACATAAGCTAGCTGCACTGGTTAGAGCACCATCTTGACAGGGCAAGTCAGCTGTGTTAGTTCAATAATTATTTCTGTGCTCTTCCATTTGCCTAATGATGCTAGGTTCTATGGGAGTTAAGTTGGACGTTGAACATCACTTGGATATAGATAAATGGAGAAGAGAGGGAAGGACATTCCAGGTAAAGGGAACAGAAAGAGGAAAGGCAGTTAGGAATGATTTGGTGGGGGGTGGGGGGTGGAATAGGAGGCATAGGTTATAAGTATTGGGGTAAAAATTGACTAGGTAAATTGGGCCAAATTATGGAGGACCTTAAATTAAGAACTCAATAATTTTCCTGGACCTATCTATGTATGAAATGAGCCATATTTAAATTTGTCATCAGTGATCAAATATGTTCTGAGCTATTTTTTCATGTATATGGCCAAAGGGTGGAAGAAAAAAGAGTCTTTAGGACATACTGCAGCCCAAATCTTACTAAAGATGTAGATCCCCCTCCCCCATGGAGAAGATTCTTGCCCTTCTTAGACCTTCATGAGGGAGATTGGGAGATCTCTAAGGAAATGATGGTAGACTTTAAAGGGTAATTTACCACCCCCCCTTTCCTAGAGCAAACAGGTTGGGTGTGGGTAAGGTCAGAAAGTGAAGAATAAGGGTTTTCTAATCCACATTTTAAAATGGTATTGACAGGCAGTGTCATAAGTGGAAAGAGCACTGGTCTTAGAGAATCTAGTTTCAAATCTCAGGCTTGGTCAAGCCACTAACCTCTTTGGACCTCAGGTTTCTGCATCTATAAAATGAGGGGTTGAATAAGATATCTCTAAGTTCTCTTCCAGTTCATTGAGCTCAACCTCTACATTTTACATGACGAGACAAATGGAGCCAAGACAGTTTAAGTGTTTCAACATAGGTGGTAAATGGCAGCACCAGGAGTTACTCCAAATCCAAGAGCGAGCCAAAATGCAGTATACACCTTGACTGTCACAAGAGAAAATATTTAAGCAACTAAATTAGGATTGAGCACAATGACTAACAGTGGTTCTGGTGAAGAGAAGATAAATGCTTCCCTCTGTTATGGGACCATGGGAGTGAAAGGTTGAAGAGGCAAACCTGAGATTGGATTTTGCTCAAGTGGCTTTCTTTGTTTCTTGAGATTCCATGGGGGAGGGGTGGGCTATATCAAAAATGACTGGTGTAAAAAACGAGTCATCTGTAAAATTTAAAAAGCAAATATATTCACAGTCATATAAGCAAAAAAGTTTTTCTCATTTGCTGAGGAGTGAGATAACATTTTACCCTAGATTTTCACCCTGACTCTTACAAAAAAAGCCACCTTGTACTTTGGTTTAATGTACTGGAAAGAGCACTGTAGTCAGAGGACCTAGATTTGAAATCTGCTTCTGCTGCTTGCTGCCTATAACTTTAGGCAAGTGACTTCACTCAGACTGAGATTCTTTACATGTAAAATCAGGGGATTCCACTGGACAATTTCTCATGGTCCCTTCAGCTTTTAACATGAGACAATTACAAAATAGATCATTCTGATTACATGAAATTGAAAGGCTTTTCCACACAAAAAAAGAAAAATGCGTGTTAGCATGAGGGAGGCAGTTGACTGGGGAAAAATTTCAGCAAAAAGTTTTGAGTTCTAAGATATGTAGACCACTAAGAGGAATGAGTGATCAGAAAGCTGTTCCCAAATAGAAAAAGGGTCAGAGGATAGGAACTAATATTTCCTAATGCAATAGTGAGCCAGTAATGATCACATAGAAGGCTTTAGATGACTAAGAAGAAAAATGCAAATCAAAACCTTGAGGTTTCACTTGCCATCCAGCAAATTGGTGAAGATTACTAGAATGGTCAGTGTTGGAGGGGTCGAGGGAAGATAGGCAGGCTAGTGCATTGCTGATGGAGCTGTCAATCAGTACAACCATTCTGGAAAGCAATTCAGAATTTTACTTTCTTTGAACTAGAGATTCCACTGCTAGGCATATATCCCATAGAGGTCAATGACAAAAAAAAAAGGGGGGGGTTCCATGTACACCAGAATAATTTATTTGTTTTGTGTTTTGTTTTTAGGCAATTGGGGTTAAGTGACTTGCCCAGGGTCACACAGCTAGTAAGTCTCGAGTGTTTGGTCTGAGGCCGCATTTGAACTCAGGTCCTCCTGACTTCAGGGCCAGTGCTCTATCCACTGCGCCACCTAGCTTCCTCTCATGTACACCAAAATAATTTATATCAACCTATGTTGTGACAGCAAATAACTAGAAACAAAGAAGGTCCTGATAATTGCAGACTGGCTGGACAAGCTACTGTACCTGGATGCAGTGGAATATTACTGTACTAAGAAACCAACAAGATAAATAGAGAGAGGCATGGAAAGACAACAGGAAGTGATGCAGTCAAGTAAAAAGAACCAGGAAAACTACACAATGACCAATAACACCCCAAAACAAAACAATGTCATATTATAGAAAACAAATATGGATCTAAAGAGGTGTAAGAACGCTCCCTCTATTCCTTTATATTATTAGTCAAGGTCCACTGGTGTAGAATAGTTATGCTGAATTTTTTTCCTCTTCTTTTTTATAAAGTCTTATGTAGGTTGATTCTCTAGGAGTAAGGAGGGACAGAGCCATCTAGGCAATATTAAAATGTCAATAAAAATGTTTTTAAAATTCTATGATCCTAGTCAGAATTTGGTGTGTCAGTTGAAGTAATGTTCATTCCAGCTGCAATTTTTTGAAACTACTGCCTGAACAAGTTATTGTATAAAATTTAAAATATACCACAATTATGTTTGAAAATCTATGTGATCTTGTAATTTTCTTTGCTTTGGTGAAGGGATAATGGTGGGAAAACTGTCTGCCCAGACATCATGCATCTGATCCCCCACCAAGGAAACCAGAGAGTCAAATACAGTGGCTTCAGCAGAGCCAGAGGCAAGCACCCCTGAGTGACAGACATTTCCCTCAATCCCAGGGAGGGGCCAGGGTCAAAACTGCCCATTTCATGCCTAATGAGAATCTTGGGGCATAAAACTGAATGTCAATACTCAAACCTGAAAATTCATAACATTATTATGGAAGTACCATGCTTTGTCAAGCTTGGCTGTAAGTCCACTTGTAAGGTAGGAGAAGGTGAATGGGGAGAACTGACTTTCAGAGATTAGGACTGCCTCCTGATGGACTGGCTGATTGAGGTGCATGGCTGAAAAGCCCACCTCTTCTGTTACGTAAACGGAATGAAAAAATATTAAGCATTTGCTGTGTGCCATGTACTGTGCTATATACTTGGCATACAAATATAAAATGTCAAAGAGCTTATATTCTAATAGGGGAAGTGTTAAGGAAGCCGTGTTTTGGAGAGAGAAGTCAAACAATGGTGGCTGGAGTGCTGAAGCAACTATTGACACTTGATGCCATTGCCTGGCACGGTTGTGATGAGTACTGCTTAGTGTTGGGAAAGGGTGTTTGTGTGGCAGAAGGAGGCTGGGAAGTTGGTATAGTACAGAGAACAGGCATAGTGCAGTGCAATCCTCACCACTCAATAGGCTTGGACCTTCCATCCTTTTTCTCCCTTGAACTTCCAGATTTGACTGTAGTAAGTGGGTGGGGGAGAAAGGCATTTCCCCCTTCTTTCCACAAGCCAGCAATAATACTATTTTACAGAAGTACATGGCAAAGGTGAAGTTCCTAACCTTCAGTTCCCAGCTGCCTGCTGTTTCCCTTTGCAAACGCAAAACTCTATTTTCCATATCCAAGATAAGGCAGAAAGCAGGGTACTGCTAAAAAGCATGTGGCAAAGGTAGGCATGTGCTTTCAGAGGCAGAAATAAATTGATTGTGAATGGATTTGCTCTGCCTAGTGAGTTATCTTGTAATCCCAAGTTTGGGAACTCCTTATCTCAAGTATTTAGGACCAGACCTAGAGGAAGATGTCTTCAACAAGGCACTCCTTGGAGAAGAAAGAGGACCACAAATGTAAACCCTTGCCGTGGAGTCTGGAAGCCAAATCTTAGGGGTCTAGGAGATCTGGTATTTACTAACTTCCCATGCCAAATCTGGGAGCTGCTGGGACAGTACACATTCTGGATGAATGGGGAATATTCATTTAGCAATCCCAGAACATCTTTACCCTCTGGGGGAGTCTGGTGAGTTATTCTGAATGTTTTGCTCACTCCATTTGAGTCCTTTGTGTCATAAATTTTCTGCAGTAGGTGAAAGATATCGTCCTATGCCCAATACTTACATTGTATATTAAGTTCCTGTGTGGGAAATGGGGACCTTATTATCTACATTTGGGGAAACCTAGATATGGGCTACACCAAACCCCCATTCTGGAGATTTCCCTGCAGTAAAACTCCAGGGTGGGGACAATGAATGTGTTAAGGGGAGAAACATACCTTTTTCAGGTCAGGCCCCCAGGACTGAATCTGGCCTCATGAACTTTTGGAGGACAGATGAGAAAGGACCTGACCAATGGGTGACACTATGTAGAATTAGGACTTTATACACCAATAGGCAGTAATTATAAATTTTTGAGTAGCATCTGATCAAACAGGTGCCCCATAAGGATTACTCTATGGTAACATTACTATCAGTATATGCAATAAAAACTTCAGGCAAAAAGACAAGTTTGGAGATCATTTCTATAATTTATATAGCTTTAGGTGCATTGAAAACTACTCTAGCATTTACTCCAACTCATAAAAATATCCATTTTAAGTCACAAGAGGTTCCGAGTTGAGTCTGCTTGTCAGCTGCTGGAAAGATAAATATAACATCTTCATCTGGACACTTGCTTCATAAGTGTTCTTCATTCTTCATGTATGAGGTAGAATTCCTCAATTAGACTGTAATCCCAATGACAGGCACTTTACCACCTTTCTCCTGATGATGTGAAATTGTCTATGTCAAATGTGTAGAAAATCTATGTTTAGGGCCTCTGAGTAGATATTTATAAGCATCAAATTTTGCTGCAGCCTGACTCACTAGATAAAATATAATAAAATCCAAGGAACTGAATCTTCTTTCTCAATAGGGCAGCTTTAGCTCTCAGATTTGGGAATTCAGGGTTTTAGAGGAAGAGGATTTCATAGCTTACCTAACATATGGTAGACACTTTAGTAACTTGCTTGATAAGAAAAAAAAAAAAGATCTGCAGTAGCTTGGCCCCTGGTTAAACCACTGATTAAGAAACACTGTTTTAGAAGTCTTCCATACTCTAAAAGATCTATGACTTTATCAGTGTGCACACTCATATTTCAACACAGATGTAAATCTTAGGTAAAGAAGAGATTCATCACCAGCAGGTTGGCTATCATTGAACCCAATTACCTTACTTCACTTCATTAACTGTTTGGCACAAAAGGTACAAAACCTTACCCATGCAACAGATTTTTCAAAAATTAGAATGGACCAGATTGAATTTAATGACTTCCTGAGAAGAAATAGTAAAATATTCCCAAAATAAAAATTCTTAGGAACATTATAGCCAAAATCCAGAACTTCCAGGTTAAAGCAAAAAACTGGAAAGAGCCAGAAAGAAGTCAAGTGCCAAGAAGTTACAGTCAAGCTCACCTAAGATTTAGCAGCCACCACTATATATAAAGAAGCAATTGAGTCTGAAATACAATATTGCAGAAGGTGAAAGACATAGGTTTACAATCAAGAATAACTTAGGCAGCAAAAGAGAGTATAATCTACAGGGCAAAAAATGCACCTTTAATGATATAGAAGACTTCTAAGCATTCCTGATGAAAAGAAGTTACATCTAAAATTTGAAATATGAACACTGTAGTCAAGAAAACAAAAATAAATGAGTAAGTGATTATATGGGACTAAACAAGGATAATGCTTACATTCTAATATGGGAAGATGATACTTGTGTTCCCTCAGATATATGACCATATCAGCAGCAGCAGCACAGAAGGAGTCTAATAAGATAGGGGGCCTGAGAATGATTTTTTTATGTATTGCTCTTAAAATGGAGAAAAGAAATATACATTGGGGGAGGGGTGGAGGGAGAAGAAAGTTGGAGGAAATTATCTAACATAATTTGGCGGCACAAGTAGAGATTATACCAAAAAAAAAAAAAAAAAAAAAAAGGAAGGGGTGGGAATGGAGGTAATCCCTGAACCTCCTTCTCATCTGAACTTGTCAAAAGAGGAAAGAACATACATACACACATATGCGCGCAGAACTGGGTACAAAATACAATTCATTCAACAGGAAACCAGTGGAAAACAGGACGGAACAGGGAGAAGAGAGAGGGAGGAACAAGAGAGGATAATTTAAATGACAGATTAGTCTGAAGCAAACACACACACAGAGACAAAAACTCTAACAAAGGAGGGTAGAGCAAGACAATGGGTTTAAAAGGAAAGAAAGGATGAGAATCTATGATTAGGCTGTGGGTGAGGGAAGCCGAAGCAGATTGCATCTCCAGCTGCCTATGAGTTACCTTGAACTGAACACATCTAAAGTGGAACGCATTCTCTTTTCCCTAAGACCCTCCTAAACGTTCCTATCCTCCTAGTCTCTCAGACTTGCAACCTACAAGTCCTCCCCAATCCTCACTCTCATCCTCCCCATATCCAATCTGTTACCAGAATCTCTCGATTCTATCTTCCTAGTATCTCTGGCGTACACTCCTGTCCTGACACTGCCACCACCTTGGTGTTGGCCCTCATCATCTCACACCTGGACCACTAAAGAGCTTGCAATCATTTGTCTCCTTGCCTTGAGTTTCTCCCCACTCTAGCCCGATCTCCATTAGTAGTCAAACCGATCACCTTAAAAGTTTAGGTCTGATCATGTCATTCCCCTATTCAGTAAACTTTTATGGCTCCCTATCAGCTCCAGAATCAAAGGTAAAAAACCCTTTGGCATTCAAAGCCCTTCATAAGCTGGCTGCTTTCTGCCTTTCCAGTTTTCTTTCACTCTATTTCCCAAAGGTACCCCTTAAGGCCAGTGATACTGGTCTGCCTGCTGTTCCTCAAACAAGACGGTCACCTCCCCAACTCTGGGCATTTTCATTGGTTGTCTCCCATGATTGGAATCCTCACCCTCCTCATCTTTGCCTCTTGGCTTCTTTCATGTTTCAAAAACAAAAAAAAAAAACCCTTACTTACTGCAAGAAGCCCTTCCCAAACCCCCTTAATGCAACGGCCTTTCTTCCACTGATGTTCTCCAATTTATCCTCTGTACATTTTGTTTACATATAGTTGTCTGCATATAGTTTGTACGTAGTTATTTCTTTCTCATTAGACTGTAAGTGTCAAAGGCAGAGACTATTTCTGCCTTTCTTTTGTTTCCCCAATATTTAGCACAGTGCCTGGCACACAGCAGATGCATAATAAATGCTTGGTGATTTGACCCCACCCTCTTCCAAACTCCTCTATTACTGCTAAGGGCACCACCACTGTCCCAGTCCCTCAGGCTCACTTCTCAATGCCCCGAATAACAACAGCCAGCATTTATACAGTCTCTACTACATGCCACTGTGCTAAGCACTTTACAAATTATCTCAGTTGATCTTCACAATTCTGGGAAAATGGTACTGCTATTATCCCCACTGTAAAGCTGAGGAACTGAGGCAATCAGGTTAAGTGACTTCCCCAAGGTCACACCTACTAAGTGTCTGAGGATAGATTTGAACTCTGGTCTTCCTGATCCCAGACCCATCACTTTATCCACTGTGCCCACTGCCAGCCACATATCTAATCATGTCACTTTTACCTTCACATCTCTTGTATACACGCCCTTCTCTCTACTCATGTAGACATCATTCTGGCACAAGCCCCCATCACCTACTAGCCTATATCAACAGCCTTCTAACTGGTCTTGTTAACCTTATTTCTCCATGCTCTAATTCACTTTCCATTCAGCTGTCAAAGTGATTTTCCTAAAGTCTAACCATGTCATGCCCCTCCTCAAACTTGAATAGTTTCTTATTACCTCTCATATCACTTATAGAATCATATTTAGCACAAAAAGTCCTTCACAACCTGCCCCCTTCCTACTTTACTACCCTCCATGGGTTCTACCATCCAGCTACACAGGGCTGCTTGATGGTCCCTGCATGAAATATTCCCTCTCCACCGTACATCACTGAAATGCTTTATTCTTTCTGACTTCCAATATTTAGCTTCCCTGACTTCAACATTCAGCTCAAATCCTACTTTCTGCAAAATGATCCCCTTAGCTCTTAGAGCCTTCCCTTCCATCTATTCTGTATAGAGCTTACATATACATATGTATTTACCAGCTTTATGCTCCCATCAGAATGTGAGCTCCTTGAAAGACAAGGAATGTTTGTCTTTGAATCTCCAGCATTTAATACAGTGCCCACATACTGTAAGTGCTCCATAAATGCTTATTGACTGATTCTGAAGGGGGGAGTATTTCAGCAACTGAGCACAATGCTAATAGGAGTGGGAAGTGGTTAGAGATAAGGTATACATGATAGCCACTGTAATAATTCAAGAATAATGAAGATTCACCAAGATTTGGTGATTGACTGCACAAAGCTGGTAAGATATATGTCAAAAATGACATCAACCTTGCAAACTTGAGACTGGGAACAAGTTAGTAAGAACAGGGTAATGAGACTGGTTTTGCAGAAGGGCAACTAGACAGGTAAAAATGATTAATTATAAACCTACCATAACTATAACAGCACTGGACTTCAAGAGATCTACATTATCCCAGCTTTGCCACTTATCAATTTGGTATTCCTGGGCAAGCCATTTCATGTCGCTGGACCGTACTTTCCCTCATCTATAAAATGAGGGGTTGGACTAATTAGAAAGCATATAAATGTCTTTTTAGCTCTAACAAAAAAGTGAATTCTATGAAGGAGGGAGTGATTGCATTTGGTAATGGTATGTCTCCTCTGATGGTTTCTAAGGGGTTAAACATACATACATACACTCATATGTTCATGGATCAATTTCATATTTTTTATGGGACAACTCTTTAGATACTGATCAGAAAACTACATTTCCAGCACAGTCTGGAAAAGGGTTCAACTTGGATTTCATTTTTGCTTGATTCAGGCACCTAATCAGGCTGAATCAAGGCTTTATATTCGATGAGTCAGAAAACTTATCTGGTTATGAATTAAAAATTACTTGTCACATTTCAAAAACAAGTAATAAATTAAGGTGTTCATTTTATTTTCAAAATGGGAGATGACCGAGTGCCTAGCTTCAGTGGTTAAAATCTAACTTAGGCTAGTTACCTCTGATGTGAAAAGAACTGAAATGCAAATCAACATACAAATAGAAAGTGATGTGTTGTCCCTTTGCAGTCATACATAAGGGTTGTCTAGAGCTGTCTATAATTTCTTATTGAGTTTTGGTTGTGAGCAAAGGTAGACATTTGTGAAATGGTTAATCTGAGTACAGATTGTGGCTGCAGAACAAGGAATCAATATGAATACTTGATCCCATTAACAGTGGGCTGTAACCAATGGAGGAATCTGGTGTTTCTTTCGGGAATGAGTTGCCTGATGGAGAATTAGATGGGAATTCTGACTAAAGGCTTTCCCACACTCATTGCATTGATAGGGTTTTTCCCCAGTATGTATTCTCTGATGTACAATGAGGTATGAGCTGCAACTGAAGGCTTTCCCACACTCATTACACTCGTACGGTTTCTCCCCTGTGTGGATTCTCTGATGGACAGTAAGACCTGAACTCCGACGGAAGGCTTTCCCACATTCATCACATTCATAAGATTTCTCCCCAGTGTGGATTCCCTGATGTACAATCAGATTTGAGCTCTGACTAAAGGTTTTCCCACACTCATTACATTCATATGGCTTCTCTCCAGTATGGATTCTCTGATGTCGAATAAGGTGGGATCTTTGACTAAAGCCTTTCCCACACTCATTACAAAGAAAAGGTTTCTCCCCAGTATGGATTCTTTGATGCACAGTAAGGTTTGCACTCTGACTGAAGGTTTTTCCACACTCTTTACAAGCATAGGGTCTGTCTGCAATGCGGATTTTTTGTTGTGAAATGAGATGTGAGCTCTGGCAAAAGCTTTTTTCAGACTGTTTATATTTCTGGCTTCTTTCTTTGGCAGAGTTTTTCTTGCCTTTGATTGCCACTTGCCGGAAACCTTTCCTTTCTCTCTTCATTGTCTCTGTTTTAGGGTTTCCCCACTGCCTCTCTACTGTCTCACCTTCTCTGAAATTAGATTCTAAGAGCAAGAGACTTTGGAATCTGAAGTTATAATGTGTGTGCTTATTTTTCTTCTAAATTTTTCTGATTTGAGGTTATCTCCTGGTTCATCCTGGTGTGAATTCTTTAAAATGAAATAAATTCTTTATATTTCTGGCTCCTCTCCTGAAGGAATTTGCTTGTTCTTGACTCTCACTTGCCTTAAGTCTCTTTTTCCTCTCTTCAGTCTCTCCCTCGTAGTGCTGTTTCCCTCCTAAATTTTTAAGCTTCCATCTTCTTCAGAGGTCTTCCAAACTCAAGTTCCTGGGAACTGTTCTCTTCTGGAATTCTCTTCATGTAGTTTTGTGTAATTTTGCTTCTTCAGAAATTCCTTCTTATGAAATCTTAAACTTGGTCTCACCATCTGACAAGAGACATAGACATATATAAATCACATATTCCTCATGCTATGAAGGGAAAAAAACCTCTTCAAATGACACAAAGTATGTACTAAAAGTATATGAATAAAATTTTGCATGCCTGAAAAATAACTTACGGTAGTAAAGGAAGTAGGGAATGATAAAAGACAAGAACAAGTAGGAGTATGATGTTACAGACAGTAGGGCTGGGAGACATTGACAGAAGTCAGAGCCAGATTGAGATTAAAATATCTCATTATTTCCCAACATGAAATTTTTCTGCATTATAAAGATAGCATTGCCATTGTGCAACCATCTGTCAGGACTGTGCCTCTGGCTCATACCTCTCTCTACGCATACTCAACTATTTCTTTTTCTTTTTTTTTGCTTTTTTTTGGTGAGGTAATCAGGGGTAAGTGATTTGCCCAGGTCACACAGCTAGTAAGTGTCAAGTGTTTGAGGCCCGGATTTGAACTCAGGCCCTCTTGACTCCAAGGCCAGAGCTTTATCCATTGCACCACCTAGCTGCCCATGGTAAACAATTTTTAAGCCAAGTAGTGCCACCAATAGTGAAGCTGCCTCTTACAAGGGCTGGTTGGTTTTTGTTTTTTTTTTGAGGAGGGGAAGATGTTGCAACTGAGGGGCACTTAAGAAACACTGAGTTCTACTATTGGAAATTAGAGCTATGGAGAACCAGAAAAATAAATACTCAAGAGAAGTAAGAAAAAAAAGTAATTCCTTCTTTTCCCACATCCTACAAGTAGGAACAAAAAAAGGGAAGGCAGGCACTTTTTATGTATCTTCAAAGCTATAAAAATAAATAGTATATAACAGAGTTTTTTAGTAAAAATGTTTACAAAATTATGAGTGCTAAAAGAGTGGTGCAAATGTGTTTCCCCTCAAATTTCCATCTTATTCCTTATGTACTGATTTTTCCCATGGCTTCAACCTTTCTGGTAATTTTATATCTCCACCAGTCCTTTGAAAGCAACACAAAAATCCCAGAGGTATAGGCAATAAATGGAAGAAGACAGGGTAGCTGGAAAGAAAAGATAAGGAACTTTAACAACATTCTCACTCCTGTTGTCTTCTCTCAAGTCTTAAATCTGTTCAGTCAGGGTAATTGGCAGCAAAAAGACATACTTTCTCTACGTCCAGATCCCACAGCAAGGAATATCTCATCAAGCTCTCTCTCACTGCAAAACTGGAGCACCTTTTCTCTGTTCCTTTTCTTCCTTCTTTTTCCTGTTCTTGATCCATTTTTGGTCTACCTCCTCTCTCATACTTTTTCACTTTCTTATTCTCTTTTCACCTTCCCTTTTTTCTCTGTTTTCTAATTTTTTTCTTTTTCTTTACTTCTTTCTTCTTTTAATCATCGGCCTCCCTTTATTGCCTACTCCATGCACGTAACATCTCTCTCTCCCCATTTCTTTTCCATTGTCAAGCACACGATTTCTCTCAGTTTATCACTAACTGCTTGGTGCCCACTCACAGACACACAAATCATTATTGAATGTGTTTCTGGGGGATACCTCCAATTTAGGTAGCATGGAATTTGGAGATCCTGAGGTGAACTATCAGACATGGGGAATGAAATTTGTCACCAAATGTTAGAAGAATAAGGAAAGAGAATATTCAGTTAAAGCAAAAGTACCTTGTTTTCAACTATGAACAAAACAGAGACTCATAAAAGTGAACTTTTCTTGAGAGGACAGGAGGCAGAAACATCTCTGCCACAGACTAGAGATGAAAGTAGTCTAGGTGAAGTCCCCAAGGTTGCTTTCTCTTGTCTCTATGTGGCAGGACCTTGAAACTGAATTTAAACCTCAAAGGAAAAGTAACAGAGACCATTCCCCAGAGTACAGGATAAGGAAACAGTAGAAAAAAGGAGGAAAGATTTGCAGAAACTGTACCCTCATATAACAAATAAAGAAATTAAGTGATCTACCTAACATTACATGGCAAGTTAGTTAACAGAGCTGAGAAAACCTCAAGTCTCTTCTGATTCACGTTGGCAAACTTTCTGACACTGCGCTTTGGTTTCCAAGACCACATCCTTGATTTTCGTGACTCCACTACCTAAACAGCTACTGAAGGATGAAGTAAGCCAAATTATCCTAAGATGTGACTTGTTTCTAAACATCTGTAAAAGGGGAGGCCTGAAGAATGGGAAAGAAAATTCAGGAAACAATTCTGTCTCTTAAGTCAGACATGGCTGAGGAATGAAAGAAAGACCAAAAAGATTTGGCTTAATTTCCCTGAAGGCCAGGAGGCCTGTTTCTAGAATAACATAACAGACGTGAGCTTATTCCCTCAGGTTGACACATTGGCATCAATCAACTAAAATATTTATTGGAAGAATCTATTACATACAAGGCTCTCTACCCAAATTTTCATACTCTTCCCTCAAATCCTCCCCAACTGTCTTAGTAAAGGCAAGTGGCCATTATTTCTTAGGAGCAACTGGTTACAAAGTTACTAAGAGGCAAATTAAGGATTGAAATGAAAAAACTTCCTAAGAGAGCTAGCCAAAAATGGAATGGACTGCTTTGGAAAGTAGTATGTTCTTTCTCATTGGAGGGCTCCAAGCTATAAGGAATATATTTTTATAAAATTTTAAGATTTAAAATGTTATAGGGTTTATTACATATATCAACAAATTTCATTGCTGAGACTTCAACCCACATCTGATGCTTTTTCAACTATACTTCGAAGTTAGGGTAGCCAGTCTGAAAACTGCCTGCAAGTATAATTCCAGCTCACAGTTTTTTAAATGGACAAAGGATGTTTTCTTATTCATATAAGAGGAGTATGGTATACTACAAAAAGCCAGAAGAGTTGCCTTCAAACTCCAGTTCCGACACATTACTAACAGGATAAACACAGGCAAGTTGCTTCTCTTTTCTGGGCCCAAGTTACTTTACCTGTAAAAGGAGAATAATGTTCTTTATAATAACTATATTACAGGGCTGTCATGAGGAAAGCATCTTGTTAAACATTAAATGTTACTTAAATGTTATTGTCAGTTTACAAAACCCCTCTTCCTCATTCCCAATACACAATTGCAAAAAGCTATAAACTTTGCCCAATAAGTCAAATCAACAAGCATTTAATAGGGATCAGTGATAGGGATAAAAAGAAAAGCAAAAGAAAACCAGTCCCTGCTCTAAAGAAGTTCAGTCTACTGGAGGGAATGAGCAGTGATTTTTTTTCTGTCCTCACACCTCCAGCATCTATCATAACGTCTTGCACACAGCAGGTGTTTAATAAATGTTTGCTGACTTGTGGCACCTAGTGCTTCTTCCTCCATCTGTACAATGAGATAGTTAGACAAGAACATAGAAAGTTCACTTTTAAGATGTTCTAAGGGGATGCCGCCAGTTCTGCCATTCTGTTTTAAAACGTTAAATTCTATGTTTTTAAATTCAGAGGTTGGCTTTATAATCAAATCTAAGAAATCAAACGTAGTGGATGTTTTTATCCCTATATAACTCTCATTTTAGTTAAGTTTTGCTGATCCTGTTTTCTGTAAATCTATTTCTAAGCCGCTATCTCTGGACTTCTAGACTATGATCCACTTGATTATGTCATGGCGTGCTGGTGTCAAGGAAGCATCCACTACATGAACGGTCTTTTTTGTGCCCTTCACAATTAACTACCCGCTTACGTGAATGTCAAAGCCGTTTAAATTTAACAAAGAAGGTAACCTGTCACCTACCTCTGGATGATCTATTGCCCAACAAAGAAACTTTGAAAAATGTTTTAAAAGCATTCTTCCCATCCTCACCAATTTAATCTTCAAACTGAATTAGTTGTAGGATCACGGAATGTTTAAGTGAAAGGGACTTCAGAGATCACCTAGTACATTTTTTTTTTAATTTTAATTTTTTCTAGTACAATCTTATAACTTTGTAGATGGCACTATTCCCCCGAAAGGACAAGTAAAGACTTGCTCAAGGGCAGGTAGACAGATAGGATCGAGTTTCTGCTTCCCAGTCCTCTTTCCACTTACCTTTCCCTGCCCCAAGAGACCACAAGAATGGAGGGAATTCGCCCCGGATTGGGGCTCCCCTGCCCAGGGGCCTGACCAGGAGGATGCCAGGTTTGCGGAAGGTCTCCCCCCACCCCCAGCCTGCTTTCCTGTAAACAGATGCTGCTCAAAAAAGCCTGGGCACCTTCACAACCTGCTGGCTTCTCGGACCCTAGCTCCCAAAGGGTGGAGTAAAGCAGAACCAAGCCAAAAAGAGAGCCCCCGACCCCCGCAAGGGCCAAGGACTGGAGACGCCGGAGGCCCCGCGGCGGGGCGAGGAGAAGCCCGAGGGAAAGGCTGGCGGCTCAGGCAGCCATTGCTCCTTCCCCCCCGGGCCTCGCTCTAACCCCAGGCTGAGGGACTCTGGGAGGGAGCGGCTCCTCCAGCCGGGGGACCGCGGCCTCGGAGCCCAAACCTACTCACCAACACAGAAAAGCTCGGACGAATCCCTCGGGCTGGGAATCTCCGGCGCGCAGACACAAAAAAATCTCTCGAGGACAGCGGCGGCCAACGGCGCAGCACCCGGAAGCGAGTCATTGCATCACTTCCGGAAACTTCCGCCGCCGTTCTGGAATCAATACCTTCTAGGCGATCCGGCTGTTCCTCATTATCTTTCTCCCTAAAATGTCCCCTCTTTCTAAATTCTCTATTACTTATTAGGATACCTTCCTGGGTGTAGGGTGTACCATCATCTTCCTAGTCACTCAGGAAGGCAACCTAAGTGTCACCCTTGTCTCCTTACCCTCTCTCACTCCCCACATTCAATCTGTTACCAAGGTTTGTTGATTTTACCTTCAGAAAGAAGTTAAGCAGATGAATAAAATTTTAGAAAAGTTTAGATATAGATATTTAGGGAATATTGAATGGGAATAGAAAGGAGTATACCTTTTCTCAGCTGGTAGGAGGTAGTAGGCGGTGGTACGAGGCGTAGGAGGACCTCCGGCTCCCAGGCTTGGGAACCAATCACCGGCTCCGAAGCCTGAGCCTGGCTCAGCAGCGAGAGAAGGGGATGGCTGGGCTTGGGGAGTCTGCCGTGGGTGGGACCTCCAGGGTTTTCTTTAGCACCTACAGAGGATGTAAAGTGGCCGTCAGTCTCGGAGCACAATTCATCAGTTGGACTGGGAGTTAAGAATGCCCCAGAGTTTATAATATTATCTAAAAACATGTTAACTTCAAATTAAAATTGTCTTTGGCATTTTTTTTCTAGATTTAGTCCAAAACCATAGATTTACCCTACACGCTGTGTACTTATTATCTAACCCTCGAACCAAATGAATAAAATATGGTTCGTGTGTAAGTAAACGGAGGGACAATCTTTATCCCTGAAACCATTTCCTTCTAAAGGCTGCACATAATACAGGTCATGGACAGCAACCATAGCATCATCAGGGATACTCTGAAAGTCAACCTTTTTCCTGTCACGGTCCCCGTTGGCAGGCCACTGAAGTCCCAGGGTCTTCTTCTCAGAATCATGTTTTTAGATGCATAAAATAAAACACATAGGAGTCAGTCAATAATATTCAATAAATGACCTACTATGCTAGGCAGGTGCTGTGCTAAGTGTTGGGAATACAAAGAAACATAAAAGATGACTCCTGCTTTCAAGGAATTCACAGTTTAATAATGGAAACAGCATGGAAACAACTATATACAAACAAGATTAATACAGGATGAATTGGAAATAATCAAAGGGAGGGCACTAGAATTAAGAGGGATTGGGAAAGCCTTCCTGTAGAAGGTAAGATTTTAGGCAGGACTTGAAGGAAGTCAGGGGGCTGAGATGAGGAAGGAGAACATTCTACAAATGAAGGGACAGTCAGTGAAAATGTGGGGGGTGAGGATATGAAGACGAAATGTGAGAAATGTTCCAAAAGTAACCTCATAAAACTGGCTTATATTTCTATTTATCAGTTCAATTTTTTTTTTTTGTTTTTCAATTTTATTTGCCTTTCAAGATTTCTATTTTCACATTTAACTGGAGATTTGGGGAATTTTCCCCTCTTTTTTTTCAGTTGCATTCACTGATCTGCTCTTTCTCTCTTTTATTGATATAAATGTTTAGAGATATGTATTTTCCCCTAAGTACTAATTTGTCTGCATCCCACAAATTTTGATGTTATCTCATTATCTTTTATGATATTATTGGTTTGAATATTTATTCTTTGACCCATTCATTCATTGGGATTATTTAGTTTACAATTTCTTTTTAATCTGTGCTCCAAGGGCTATTTATTGAACGTAATTTTTATTGTATTTTTGTCCCCAAAAGGTACATTTAATATTTCTGCTTTTCTGCATTTGTTTGTGAGGTTTTTATGCTCTAATTTGTGATAAATTTTTGTAAAGGTGCCACATATTAGCTGAGAAAAGGTATACTCCTTTCTATTCCCATTCAATATTCCCTAAATATCTATATTTAAACTTTTCTAAAATTTTATTCATCTGCTTAACTTCTTTCTGAAGGCAAAATCAACAAACCTTGGTAACAGATTGAATGTGGGGAGTGAGAGAGGGTAAGGAGACAAGGGTGACACTTAGGTTGCCTTCCTGAGTGACTAGGAAGATGATGGTACACCCTACACCCAGGAAGGTATCCTAATAAGTAATAGAGAATTTAGAAAGAGGGGACATTTTAGGGAGAAAGATAATGAGTTCAGTCTTGGACATGTTGAGTTTAAGATGTATGGAGGATATCTGGTTTGAAATGTTCAATAGGCAAATTGGAGATGCAAAATTGAGGTTAGCAAAGATGGTGTGGTTGGATAAGTAAATTTAAAAATCATCAATGAAGAGATGATAATTTAATCTGTGGAAGCTGATGAGATCACCAAGTGAAATAGTATAGAGAAAAAAGAGAAGAGTGCCCCAAACAGATCCCTGTGGAACACATAAGGTTAGCATGATTAGCAAGTGTGACCTGAATGAACAGCCAGCAAAAAGAAGCTGAGAAGAAACAGTCAGACAGGTAGGAAGAAGTGTTATAAAATCTACTGAGAAGAGAGTATCAAGAAAAGGGTGATCAACAATGTTAAAGGCTGCAGGAAGGTTAAGAAGGAGGATTGAGGAAAGGCCATCAGATTTGGCAATTAAGAGATCATTAGTAACTTTGGAGAAAACAATTAAGATTGAGTGATGCAGTCAGAAGCCAGATTGCACAGACTTTAAAGTAGAGAATAAGAGGAAAGGAAGGAGTAGTATCTGTTACAGATGGCCTTTCCAAGGAGTTTAGCCACAAAAGGGAGGAGAGATATGAGATAATAACTAGGTGGGGTAGACAGATTGAGTAACAATTTTTTGAAAAAGAAGGAGGTATGAGCATGTTTGTTGGCAGTAAGTAAGGAGCCAATAAACATGAAAAGATTGAAGATAAGTGCTAGAGTGGGGATGGAGGGAACATTCTGCTAGAGAAAATGGGATGAAATTGGATCACTTGTGCACATAGAAAGGTTTGTCTTGGCAAAAAATAAAGTAAAATAAAACTACCTCTTCATGTAAGATATGGGTAGAAAGCATCAGGGTAATTTGAGGTAAGGAGAAAGGGAAAGGGGGACCTATTGGTTAATGTCCTTAATTTTTTCAAATATGAGGCAAGGTCCTCAGTTCTGGATGACAGAAAGCCATGGGAGGGTTAAGGAAAGATGAAAAAGTCTCAAAGAGCTGCTGTCATGAGTATAAAACCAATTATGTGGAATTAGTTGTTTAAGATTTTTAAAAAATTTATAGACACTAGGTTATACATAGGAGGACTTTTCAGATAGACTAGGTTCTAGGCCTTACATTCCCACTCATCTTCTCTGAGATCTTGGGCAAATCACTTAAAGTCTCTGAGCCTCAGTTTTCTTATCTGTGATGTGGGGATGATATCAATAACTCCAATTCCTAAAGAATTTTAAGGTTTACAAAGTACTTTTGGAGGGGTAGACCTCAGGGGTGGAGGAAGTAGTACATTGTCTAATACAGCCCAGAGATGGCACTGACCCATTCACAGTGCCCCAACACTGGTACCACCTTCTCTCTCAGGGTTGACTAAATCACCCCCAACATAACATCATACTAGCAGATCTCAGGGGTTTTCCCAAAGTGGAAGGATATACTCCTACTACTCACCACTCGAGTTCCTGAGCCCCAACCAGCTTGCTTCCTATTTACACAAAGTCAGCCATGATGACACCATTGACTCTTTAAAATGAAACATTTCCTAAGGAAGGTAAAAGTAAAAACAATGATAACATTTAATTGATAGAAATCAGAAGCAGAGATAATGATAACATTATTCAATAGAAGACAAAAGCAAGGATAATCAAATATAACAATCTTCCCATAAACCAATGCACAATGTCCACGAGGGAGAATAGTCACATATTTACAGAAGGCTAGAAAGGAAATAAATAAATAGGGAAGTCCACATGCCCAGGGCAACACACAATTCTGGATGGCAGGCCTAGACTTCCTTGATCTGTTTAGAGAATGGTCTATACCACATGTCACCTTCTAGGCAAAACTTCTTCTCTGTTATCTGTTCCCCTTTTGGTCTTCATAATTCTCTTACTAGGCAAAACAGTTTATTTGCTACTCTCTGGTGGTGAAGCAACAAGTTCCCTTACTATGCAGTTGTGCTTTATAAAGTGCTGAGAAAACATACTTTTTAAGCAAAGATATGTCAGCACAGCTCAAAACAGCAGCAAAACCTGTCTATCCCACTTTTAAGACAGTGGGCAGTAAAAGGCATCACTGACATGCTAAGAAGTTTCCTCTCTCTCAGACTGTTGATAGTATTGGAGGGAAATTAGCCTATACAGCTTTTCACACAGCAGCAGGATTCAGCTCTCCTCTGTTGACCTAGAAGCTGCAAATCCCATCTAAGCTTCAGTTAGCTAATTCTGCCTCACTCCAGCCATTCTGCTCTTAGCTCTCAGAAAGACAATGCATTTCTTCCAATCAGCATTGTTACAGCAAAAACATCTGCAGAGTATGACTGCAAGTTTAGCTTTATTTTGTCTTCTGTAAACAGTGTTGTTGTTTTTTTTTTTTATCACACTATGTGTCTTCTGTTCCTTAGTCTTCCAGTACTCACTGTCCTCTTCTGCTTCTATCTTCATCTGGTAGTCTCCTCTTCCTCTCACATCTATGTTTTCTTAATATAAAATCCACCTCTCAACAGTCTATTGTCATGACTGAATCTGTGAATAAGAGAAACTGAGGCAAAGAGCTCCAAGCAAATCAGTTTATTAGCAATGGCTAGCAGTTTGCCAATAAAGTGGGTACAAGATCACTTCAGTTGGTACAAAGACAAGATCACTTCAGTTGGTACAAATGGATTGAGTTTACAGAAGACTTTTATCCTCATAAATGAGGAACATAAACCCCAAAATGAGGAACATGGCATTAATTCATATGGGTGTTTACACATTCTTATTGGCTGGGGTGTTTTGGAAGTTTCCATTGTCATCATGGAAGCCTGTTGCATCCTTGATGAGAACAGGGAATTTCCATTGGAATGGGGAACTTTAACAGATATGCAAT